TGGTAGTGGGACCAATCTCATTAAAATCATATCTTAGTTCTCGCTATCGCTAAACAAAGATCTGAGGACATCCCATTACGGGTCACGTCAGACCGACCTTGTGCAAACTTTGACCAATCAGAAGGGAGCTTTCTCGTGCTTTACGGCATCAATTTCAAATTGGTGAGTATGCTTCGAAACATATTTTGAACAGTTCTCGATTACAAATTTGAAACCTGAACAAAAGAACATTCTGAAATGGCTAATAGGTTATCTAGATTGCATGGATTCAGTCGTTAAACCCTTAACTATCGTTCGGAGTACCCCGTGTTAAAGTTTTCCAGGTTGCATTTCGAGGTGGAAATCACATTCCGACTGTCACTTTCATAATCTGGTAAGCGACGCTCTGATTAGTCGGATGAAAGGTCATTCTGACGTGACCCCTTATGGGATGTCTTCAGATCTTTGTTCAGCGGTAGCGAGAACTAAGGTCTGATTTTAATGAGATTGGTAGTGGGACCCTATATTCAGCTTTGGGATGGTCATGCAAATAGTCCGCAGCTATTTCGATATTAAAAAAATATTGATATTAAGTTGACTTTCATGACAACTAATAATTTGACATCCTTTTGGGTCCTCGCAGATGCAACTGTCAAGAACATCACTGCTACTTTTAGTTTATGAATTGTTCAAGAACCACTCTTGAACACAGTCATAACATTTAATTGTTTGTCCTGAAAACTGTTGTTTATGGACCAGATATACTACTCAAAAGAAGTTAAAGAAACCAGTTTCTTTCCTATTACTATAGTTCAAATATCTTGGCGTGACAGATTGACTATAGTAATTTGAAAGAATTGGGTGTGCTTTAACTTCTGGGCAGTCGGGTAGCCTAGTGGTTAAAGCGTTCGCTCGTCACGCCAAAGACCCGGGTTCGATTCCCGACATGGGTACAATGTGTGAAGCCCATTTCTGGTGTCCCCCACCATGATATTGCTGGAATATTGCTAAAAGCGGGGTAAAACCATACTCACTCACTCTTTAACTTCTTTTTCGCCGCGATATAACTGTAATACCGTTAAAAGCGGCGTTAAACACAACTCTCTCACTCTCTCTTAACTTCTTTTGCGAAGTAAACTTCGACTTATTTCACTGGGTTGTCGGCAATAATGATACTTGCTTGACTATGCTGCTGTGTACAACTTCCAAGTACCAGGTGAGCTAAGTGAGTTTCAAAGTAATTAGGGAAAATCATAATGTTTATCTTTGTGCTGTCAGTGGTCTGCAAGAGACATGGTTTGGTTAAATGGCAGCACTTGTTTCTTTCCCCGATGCATGTAGTTCACTTGAAGGGGCTAATACGACAAATTGTATTTCAACACTTGTGAAAGGGTGATAGATGTTGTGTCTGTTCTTTCCCTCTGACCTGCACTTTGTGAGACTTAATAACGACTTAAAAACAACCTTCATTAGTTATTCACTCTGTTTGCACAAATCGATAAAGATTTCTGTCATCATGGGTTTGTATAGATATGACAGCCAGCCTCTGTGGAAATACAATCAGAACATACCTAGGATGACCTTTCTATTTGAAATCCAAAACTCACACCATCTCAGAAATATTGTCTTACAACCATTGGCTCGATGAAGTAACTGATTTATGTCCATTGTTGTGGATGTTCCTTATTGTTATGTGACCCTAATCATGGATAAATATGAGTCATAAGTTAACAGGAATTTGTAGCTGTACAGGAAAGATATGAATTTTTGTTACAGCATAAGGAACCAAGGTCTAATTATTGTCTCACATACCATTTCAATGAATATGTCACACAGACCCCGGTGTCTAATCTATTTGAGCCATGGCTATAGTTCAAAGAATATGATTTTTTTTTTTTTTTAAATTATCTGTATTTTAAAAGTTATTCAAGAACTCTATGGCGAACATTGAGTACATTTTGTGAATGTTTCTACATGCACCTAGCAACTGATTTTGTTCTATTCATATCTATTTAGGAAAAAGGGTGTCTTGGTGGCACAATGCATTCCTGGGGCACACCAGAAACCTACGCTTGAGGTGTTCAAATCCTGGTTCACCCTGATTATGTTTCAAGATTTGTAAGCACCATCCCAGTACTCGTGGGTTCACCAAAGTTGTAAACTTCTGTGACTTTCCTCCAACATTAAGCTGACACACCGTTATATAACTGGAATACTTTTCAAAGCAGCATCAAACCCAACTCACTCACTCACTCTTCCTTGTCTCAATGGCAGAAGACTTCATTCGTTAGCTGATTAATATGTAGTTTCAAACAAAGGAGCTTGGTTTCGATATCAGGTCAGAACACGTCATATTCAATATTTCCTGTTACAGCTTCACATTCCTGTTAACAAAACTATTTATCCAATGCAGATAGATGCTAATTAGATACAAGAGCGTGTTAAGCTGTGAGAGCACCCATGGTAGAATATCTTCATATTGGTTGTATTAACAGGTGTACTGAACTCTTTGTAAACTAGCCCATTGATGAGAAATGACTTCTTTTTTTTTACTAATTAATGTCCATAGATGGCTTTATAGATGACCTGGTAGCAGGGCTGTGTAAAGTTTGTTATTTAGGGGGAAAGCTTCCTGTGGTACTGCGTTCCCATCAGTGCAGAACTTCGGCAATGCTCTGCTGATGTTCACATTGTGAAATCTAAGTTGTATCCAAGACTAAAAGTGCTAAAACTTAGGCCTTGCTATTTATTTTTGCCGAGGCTGTTTACCAGATCTCGCCAAGGTCGGCGAATACTTACATGTGAACCATAAGGCTTAGCACAATTGTATTGATCTTTCTTTCATGAGGTTCTTCAGGGGATATTCCGTTTATTGCAGGAATAAAAATGAATTGTTGACACAAGCACCTGTTTGTTATTTTTTTTGACAGTGAATGTTGTTTTGCTGTCCACATTATGCTCAGCTTCCCATGGAAGCCCATTTTCCATCCTTGCCAAACTAGGCTATGATTGTTTAATTACATTTAGGCTGGACTAACGAGTCTATGCAGTCCAATCAAAATCATGTAACAAAATCGTCATCTGGTATATTAATATGGTGACTGCTGTGCAGATTTTGGTCAACTACAAGATTTGCACCGTCCACTGGGCGTCAAGATATTTTACAAATCTTTTCATAATTGCTCAAGTGGTCTGATACACTTGCAAGTTAAGACCTGTTTAATTATCAATCAGATCGTTTTGACTAGGCACCGCCAATTCAAGTAATATGCAAAGTGAAATCTGATTAGTCAATGGGATGGACATATAACAGACATAGCCACCGGTGGCGCTGTGATCAAGCCACGAAATTCCAGCCTAGTTCAGCAAGGGTGGAAAGTGGACTTCTATTGTCAGTGAACTCCCTTGGCTCAGGAAGATGCATTATGCTATGTAATAAATGGTTGATAACATGTTTCGGTTGTAATGACAGAATAAGCCAGGTCATACATGGCAAACATACTACTCAAAAGAAGTTAAAGAAAACACTGTTCAAATATGACTATGGGGGATTGCATCACAGCCTTCTGATTGTGTGTTCTTTAACTCGTTTTGAGTAGTATAACATGAGTAGGTAACCGGACCAACTCTACTGGCGATCCGGGTTAGAATAGGTCTTCAGCAACCCATGCTTGCCGTTAAAGGCGACTAACGCAATCAGCTGGTCAGGCACACTTACTTGATTGATGCATGTCATCGTATCCCAATTGCTTCGATCGAGATGTCAATCACTGGATTGTCTAGTCCAGACTTGATTATTTACAGACCGCCATCATATAGCTGGAATATTGCTGAGTGTGGCTTTAAACAACAACAAAAACTACTGGCATGGTTTTTCGCCGAAGTTGTGGGTCAAAAGAATCCTGTTTGTCCGCACATATCCATGCTTGTGGGTTTCACCAAAGTGGTAAACATCAACATTACTTTCATCCCACATCAAGCTGACACAGTTATAGTACTGAAACACTGTTCAAAGAGTTGATAAATTCTCTTCAACAGCCTCTGCCATTGACCATCTTATTCCAGTTATGTGACAGCAGCCTGGAAATAATAAAGTCCAGTCCAGACAACCCAGTGATTGATATAATCAGCAAAAATCTACACCACTGGGTACAATGTTATTGACCTGTGACGATCCGGGGTAGAATAGGTCTTCAGCCACCCATGCTCGCTGTGAAAGGCGACTAACAGGATCGGATGGTCAGGCTTGCTGACTTGGTTGATGCATGTTATCGTATCCCAATTGTGTGGATTGATGCTCAAGATGTCAGTCACTGGATTATCTGGTCTAGACTCGATTATTTACAGACCTCCATCATATAGCTGGAATATTGCTGAGTGCGGCGTTAAACAACAAACAAACATGTTATCAGCCACCAAGTCTGATCACCTGATCCATCAAGTCGCCTGCTACAATCAGCTACCAATATTGTTACCCTGAATCCCCTTAAGCACATTTGAGTGGTATGATTAACTGTAGCCAGTGTAGGTCCAGTGCTTCGTGCTACAAGTCATATTGACCTGTAAATTCCGGGGTAGAATAGGTCTTCAGTAACCCATGCTTGCCGTAAAAGGCGACTAACGGGATCGGGTGTTTAGGCTCTTGCGTCCCTTGGGCACGCCAGAACCCTATGATTGTGGGTTCGAATCCCACTTAGCCCCGATTATGTTTCTAAGTTTGTCAGCACCATACCCGTGCTCGTGGGTTTCACCTAAGTGGTAAACGTCAAAGACCTGCATCACTTCGGGCTTTCCTCCCACACGCCGCGATATAACTGGAATACTGTTAAAAGCTGCGTTAAACCAAACTCACTCAATTCCGTGGATCGATGCTCAAGATGTCAGTCACTGGACTGTCTGGTCCAGACTCGATTATTTACAGACCACTGTCATATAGCTGGAATATTGCTAAGTGCGGCGTTAAACAACAAACGAACAAGTCGTATCATGGTCATGCATTGATTCACAAAGAACGCCGCCTGTTTCTTTTTTTCCCATTTCTTGTAAAAATAGAAATGCTTTAATATTCGATGTCTTGAACACACGACCCAGGCAGTGAAATGCAACAATATTAGAAAATAATGCCATCCAATATAGCGTGCAGTTACTTCCCTTTACATGCTAAATACTTCTTCCAATCTACAAATTGTCATCTTGGTATGATCACAGGACATAGAGAGGCAGCAGGTATTATTGAGGTGTTAGCAGCAGGTGTAGGAAGACGGGTGTAGGAAGACGGGTGTACCCCTAGCATGTCACACTGCCATGTCCATCTTGATTTTGGGATGGGGGTTGTATCCCACTATTTCAAAGTCCTCCATGGTAAAATCATCGATACTTTCCACAGTTTTCTTCATCTTAAAAATGGGGAATGGTTTAGGTTGTCGCTTAATCTGAAAACAAATCATTTAAAAGTAATTTATAACAGCAATATTTACAGACCGCCGTCATGTAGCTGGAATATTGATGAGTGCAGCGTCAAACAACAAACAAACACCCACCCAACCTATGACTTACAAAAGATGGGTGCAGGGGCCCCCAATGATTAATCTTAAGGGTCTTGCAGGCAATAAGAGGGTCCTGTAATGTAATGAAATGGTGTAGCGTACTCTACGTTTAGATAATTACTTTAGAGCCCTGAATGTTTGTTTGTTTGTTTGTTGCTTAACGCCACACTCAGCAATATTCCAGCTATATGACAGCGGTCTGAAAATAATCGAGTCTGGACCAGACAATCCAGTGATTAATATCATGAGCATCTTTCCATGCAATTGGGATCGATGACATGCATCAACCAAGTCAGCGAGCCTGACCACCCGATCCCATTAGTCGCCTTTTACGACAAGCATAGTCACCTTTTACGGCAAGCATGGGTTGACCTATTCTACCCCGGAATCCTCACGGGTCTAGAGCCCTGAATGAATCAACGATCATGTGGACAGTGGTCATGATTGATGGATGAAATGTCAGACACTCATAACTGCTCTTGATGCGCTGTCGGTGCATGAGTTTTATTCATTGTGCGTCCTTCAGGATGCAGTATATTCTTTTAATGCATCCAATCTCAATGTATGCTTAATGGACACACATCTGTGTCAGGTAAAACCCTGGAAGCACAAAAATATCTCACCTGTTCCTTTAGCCCCTCGACATGGTTGACGTACACATGAGCATCTCCGATAGTGTGGATAAAGTCTCCAGTCTAAACACAAATTAGATGCCACTTATAGTACACATCAATGTACGCAAGTGTGAACAATAATTATAAACCATGAAGAAAGTCATGTTACTTCAAGAATCACATACACATCAATGTATTTAGGTCAGGTTAAATGAAATTTAACATCAAGTTCAAGTTTATTTTGTCCGGATAGTCTCCCAGGCCCTAGAGAATAAATTAAAAAAGGAGTCCAACTCAAGTCTAGAATGATTTGGCAAGTCTAGATTACCTTAGCTCTAGGAATTAAGGATTTGTTTGGGGCTCTATTTAGATTATATTTTATATTGAGTAGATAGATTTTTAATACTCCAGATTATACCATTAAAAATAAATTGGTTTTAATTTCTTGTTGTAAAAGAATTCTGGGTCAGTATGTTAAACATGTTCTCAGGGCTTAATGTAAATAAATTTCTAATAAAATCAGTCTTGAAATAATTTCAAACAATCATGAAAGCAAATAGATATTCGGGATAATGTATTTTCAATCAAACAGCATTTTTAAAGACTTTCATTTTGTACTGAAGCAGAATTCGGGATAGACTCATCAGTGAAACAAACAACTGGGTCAGGCCATCAGTCATGTGATGACCTACATAATTACTACAAACATTAAACAATATTCATGTTTCTCTGCAAAATGGTGACTATGACATGTAGTGTATGATGAGCACTCTCACCTTCAGCCCAGTGACGTGGGCGATCATGTACGTTAGGAGGGAGTAGCTGGCGATGTTGAACGGCACACCTAGACCCTGGAAGACACAAAACACCATCAATGATCCATTTCTTAACCTCTATCTTGATTTCTTGCTTACTGAGAAGAGTTGATCTGATTGAGCGTCATCTAGTTTGAAAATGAGGGACATCTTTTTTTATGTTTCGACTGCTGACAGATTGGAAAGTGTCCCAGTGTTTGTCATTCAGGAACTTTTGAAGGCAATTTTACAGCTGGGTAACAGTACTTAATTAATCAAGCTGGTGGCCGATAGCATGAGCATCAATACACAACTATCAAGGAATGATGACAGTCAACCAGGTCACACGTGATTTATTTGTTCCCTATTTAACATCGCACTCAGCCAAATTCCAGCTGTATGACGGCGTTCTGTAAATAATTCAAGTCTGGACCAGACAATCCAGTGAATGACATCATGAGCATCAATCTATGCAGTTGGGATATGATGACATGCATCAACCAAGTCAGTGAGCCTGACCACCCGATTGTGTTGACTGTAACCACCCCATGAATGACAGTCAGATACTTGGGATAATGGCATACTGTAAATACTCAAAACTTGTTTAGTCCAGAGCTCCAGATAAGCTTTTGGTGTTGTGGGTATTTTACCCATGCATTTTAAAATCATTGGGTATCAGTTATTCTATTTGGCTATTCAAATTTCTGTTACCCACTAGTTTTTACACATGTGGATATTTAAGTTAAATATTTAAAAACACTATTCATCTAGTCCCTGCAAACTGGTGTCATATGGGTTCGAGAGCTTTATAGGACTCAAAAATACCACGATACTTCCACAAGAAAGTGTGATGGCAAATGATCATGATGTAACTGTCCTCGTGGAGTTTGGCAAGGTTGACGGAATGTCCGTTTATAATTTCAAAATAAGTTGCTGATTTGCTAATCGAATACGCAGGGCTACTTCACAATATTTTGATGATACCCACAAGTTTTATTTTTGTAGCGTATCTGTAATGTTCGTTGCGTATTTGATACGCTTGGATTTTATTTTAGTGTGTATTTCTGCATTTCTGATGCGTATTTTACGCAGATACGCAGCTTATCTTGAGCTCTGTTAGTCTGCTCTTAAAGCAAGCATGGGGATGTCCCATTATCCCAACAGGGGAGTGAGTTGCAATTTTATTAAAAAGTATTCCAGTTACACCACACAAAGTAGTGGTGAGTGAGTTGGGTTTTACACTGCTTTTAACAGTATTCCAGTTATATCACAGCGTGTCAGCTTAATGTGGGAGGAAAGCCCGAAGTGATGCAGGTCTAAGACGTTTACCACTTCGGTGTAACCCACGAGCTAGAACTAGTAACTAGTAACTATAACTGTAACTAGAAACATAATCGGGGCCAACCGGGATTAGAACCCACAATCATAGGTTTCTGGCATGCCCAAGGGACACAACTCTGCACAGCGAATCGCGGCGCCTTACACGACTAGGCCACCCGTGCCCCCACCACGGGATGTAAGCTTGATGTGGGAGGAAAGCCTGAAGTGATGCAGGTCTCAGACGTTTACCACTTTGGTGAAACCCATGGGCACGGGTATGGTGCTGACAACCTGGAAACAGTCAGAGTAAATCTGGGATTCAAACAATATAGGATTCTGGCATGCCTAAGCAACCAAAATATGCACCATGCATTGTGACAACTTAGGCATGTGGGCCACAGGCCCCTTCATCCTCACAAGGAGTTGGAAGGAGACTGACCATATCGGCTGATCGCTGGTACAGCTGACAGGACAGTTCCCCCTCCGCAACATAGAACTGTACAAGGCAATGGCATGGTGGCAGCGCCATTTTCGACAGATCTGAAACAAGTAAACAGTCAGTGAGAGCCGTATAACACTGCTGCAACCAACCTCTCACCTATGTCAGGGCAGTCTGAAAAATATCAAGTCAGGAATGCCTGAAGAATCAAACTAGCACTCGTTCTTGAACTTTCTTTTAAAAAAACAGAGAAAAACAAGCCATCCTTGAATATGTTTTTGTAACAAAATTTAGACTGTAGGGGTGACTTGCATTTCACTTTTAACAGGACCATTATGGCAGCAGTGGCTTTGAAGTTAGCTCTACAATATTGCATTGAATGCAATGTTAAAATACTGTGGATAGACTGAAGTTGTATTTATTGCTTAAATATGGTATTCACAGAAAACTTAATCAATTATTACACAATATGTATAAAAAGCATCTGTACGAGTTAACAGGTATCTAATGACTGATAAACATGATAAATCTACAACAGAAACAGGCGTTAGCCAGGGCTGCATATTGTCACCTGTTCTGTTCCTATTGTATATTGAAGAATTAGTTAAAGAAATAATCTCTAACGACAGTACAGGAATCTTTATTGAAAACACCATTCATGATTTATCAATACTGTTGTTTGCCGACGATGTCGTTGTCTTTGGTGAGTTCTGTTATATTATTACAGAAGAAAATTAATGTCCAAAGTGAATATTGCTTCAAATGGGGGTTTATCTATTAATGTAGGCAACATGAAAGTAGTATTCATAAACAGCGGTAAAATACTATGAACTGAAAAATCGAAAAGGCATAGAGGTAATTTCACACTACAAATATTTAGGTATTTATATTATCCATTTATGCAGAAATATTTTTACCAAGGCATCTGAGACACTAGCTATGCAAGCTGAGAAAGCTTTGCATGTTATTTAGCGATTTATTAGAAAATATAAAGACTTGCCTCTAAATTCAGCATTTAAATTATTTGATGGGAATATTGAACCAATCCTGTTATATGGTTCGGAGCTCTGGGGTATGAATTTTCTTTATTCTGTAGAAAAAGTTCATATTAAACTATGTGGTTCTACATGTACTAAATAGTAGTTACAAGGCATGGAACAAAGTTACATTAGCTGAATGTGGGCGCTTTTCTCTAGAGTTATAGCCTACTGGACAAGTGTTACTCGACAGCCTTCTACAACATATTCTAAATGATGTTCTGATTTATTTCAGAAATTAGATGATATTGGAAATATTATAAGGTTCCATTTGTGCGAACTACCCGATTCCAGTCTGGTTTGGGACGTGTCTGGATATCCTAAGATGTCTAGATAAAGATCTACTCTTGTGTCTGTTTAAACAGAGATGCAAAGACATTTACCAACAAAAGTGGTACAACAATATGAAAGAGTCGAAATCCTTAACATACTACAAAGATTCCAAGCCTCAAAACACGCCAGAGAGATATCTAATAGCAATAAAAGCATTAAACCTGTGCTGAGTATTAACAAAATTTAGATGTAAGTGTCATGATTTGCCTATCAGAGATGCAAGACTTTCCGTAACTCCTGAAACAGAAAATACTACGTTTATACTCCAACCATGTTACGTAAGATGAAAATCGTGCGTTAATGATTTGCCTGGAATACAGTAACATTAGAATGAAATATTTAGAATGAAATCAGGCCCTCGTATAAAAATACAAATTCAGACTGATGACGATAATCTCCTATCTAAGCTATCTCTATTATTGTATCACATATTACACAAGAGAACAGTCCATATGTGAACTAATGGTTTAAGTTACTTGTACAGCATATATTAAGGTGCTCTCATTCAGCGTTAGAAATTGGGACTAGTCCTATAGTCCTTGCCAAACTGCCCAATAGTTAACGTATCACTAGTAGAAATTTACCCTTTTTAAGATTTTTGCTATATGTTTTAAGGATTGACTATGTATTTTTTTCGGTTCATTGAGGTATGAATCGAAAAACTGATGTGCAAACTGTATGAATCCGCGTAGAGGATTCTTACAAAAGTTTGCACATCGTTTTTTCGATTTATACCTCAATGAACCACACAAAAAAATAGTCAATGCTTCTAATTAAATTCGACAATGTAAAACATGTTTTATCTACAATAGTTTAACCCAGAACAGTTGCATACATCAAAACAGACAAAAATGACAACATTGATAAACATTGCAGGTATAGGAATACATACAGTGGCGTGACATGAATCAGGTGATCGTTTAATTTATGCACATAACTTGACACGCCTACAGTCAGTAGCCAATCAACTGAGAGTGGGATTAAACCAATGTTCATTGGACCTGTCAAGGCAAGAGGCGAAAAGAACTGCAACAGTCAGACTGAAACGAACCGGAAGAAATATGTTCGAGAGAAGGCGGCTGTTTCAAATAACATGGTCATTTACTGCGTAATTCAAACATTACTTCCCTGATTACGGTAAAACACAGTTGGAGAAATGCTAGTTAGAAATGAAACCCAAAGACATGAAAGTTGAATCGAGGCGAGCGGGGGAAAAACAGGCGAGAGAGCCTGCACGTTTGCTGTTTCATTCATTTCTCGGCCTTCGGTTTCAAAGGGTAGTTTGGACAATGAATATGCATGAAAGTCGCTAAATGTCCTGTGCATGACGATACACGTGAGCAGAAAGGGAATTCCCTTGACTGTAATATTGGGATTCCCCGACAATCCGCAGTAATAAAAGTAGCGGCCGCGGTGGGCGTGGCTTAATTTTAGACATTCATTAGGAAATGAATGCAATAACACGTGACCAATTCAGCTAATCAGAATGCAGGAATTTCAATGAACACAACGAAAATTTAATTATATTATAATGAATGAATAAATGAGTATGGTTTTATGCCGCTTTTAGCAATATTCCAGCAATATCATGGCGGGGGACACCAGAAATGGGCTTCACACATTGTACCTATGTCAGAAATCGAATCCGGGTCTTCGGCGTGACGAGCGAACGCTTTAACCACTAGACTACCCGACTGCCCCTGTTATTATATGGAGGAGTGGGCTAAAACTGTTGTTCTACTGCTGTAATTGTAACAATTATGCCTTAATATAAACATGATGTACTATTGGTCTTAAAATACCTCTGAATTTCAGGCAATAACAAAAACATTCCAATTTTGAACAAATCCCTAATATCGATAAAGATATATGCACTGGCTGATCATGTGGTGGATGTGTTCGCGCAAATAGTTTAGGCCTTGTTCGGGAACAGGTATGATGTTTCCAGTCATGTTTTCGACATTAAGGGAGTGCAATAATGAAAGCAGGATAACATAAATATGTCATGTTTACGACATTGAAACAGAAGGGAGTGCAATATTGAATGCAGAATAACATAAATAAGCAAGGTATGAAACTCCCAAAATTTCCAGCCAGACAACAGGACTGGCTAGCTGAAATACTTGCCAGCCCCGTCAAAAAACCTGCCTGCCCACTATAATCATATGTTTCTCAGGATATGCTAACGGGGTTTCTTTTTGGTTACATTTTATCATTCATCTTTACATGTGAATTAATGCTTATCAACAGGAAATATTTAGAATATTGTCACATATGAAATATAACCCGACCGTCGGGCAGGGGGATTTGAAAATCTGGCAGCCCGAGTTGAAATCAACCCGTCTCGGACGGTCAGGCAGGCAGGTATTTCGAACACTGAAATAAGTCATGTTTTCTCCAACAATTGCCTGCAAAGGTCACTAATTTGGAACCCTAGCTAAATCCCTGAAGCATCCGAAGGCAATCTGTAACAAAACATAAGAAGAAACCATTACTATCATTCCTGGAAAAGTTTGTTTGTTTGTCTTTTGACGCCACACTCAGCAATATTCCAGCTATATGTTCAGGAAGCATGACAAGAGACAGTACTTGGATGCTATTGAGGAAATCATCAGTCGAGTATAATCATATAATCGAGTCTGGACCAGATAATCCAGTGATTAACATCATGAGCATCGATCCATGCAATTGGGATAAGAGCCTGACCAACCAATCCCGTTAGGCACCTCTTACGACACGCATAGTCACCTTTTACGGCAAGCATGGGATGCTGAAGACCTATTCTACTCCAGATCTTCTCGGGGGTAAAAGTAATAGTGAAACAAGCATTTGTCACAGAGTGACGAAATATCCCCCGCCATATGCACCATAGTACCAAATATGAAGACAATCCAGCGATTAGTTCTTGAGATATTGTGGCAACACCGTTTTCCAACTCCAAAAACAGATTTGCCTGCTGTGACCTTGAAAATGGGGTCAAGGTCACTAAATCTGACAGGTGTATGCGGTGTCTGTATATACACTATAGTTCCAAATATGAAGACAATCCAGCGATTAGTTCTTGAGATATCGCGGCAACACCGTTTTCTAACTCCAAAAGCAGATTTGCCTGCTGTGACCTTTAAAATGGGGTCAAGGTCACCAAAACTGACTGGTGTCTGCTGTGTCTGTATATACACCATAGTTCCAAATATGAAGACAATCGAGAGGTTTAGTTCTTGAGATATCGCGGCAACACTGTTTTCCAACTCTAAAAGCAGATTTGCCTGCTGTGACCTTGAAAATGGGATCAAGGTCACCAAAACCGACTGGTGTCTGCGGAGTCTGTATATACACTATAGTTCCAAATATGAAGACAATCCAGTGTTTAGTTCTTGAGATATCACGGCAACACCGTTTTCCAACTCCAAAAGCAGATTTGCCTGCTGTGACCTTGAAAATGGGGTCAAGGTCACCAAAACCGACTGGTGTCTGCGGTATCTGTATATACACCATAGTTCCAAATATGAAGACAATCCAGTGTTTAGTTCTTGAGATATCGCGGCAACACCGTTTTCCAACTCTAAAAGCAGATTTGTCTGCTGTGACCTTGAAAATGGGATCAAGGTCACCAAAACCGACTGGTGTCTGCTGTGTCTGTATATACACCATAGTTCCAAATATGAAGACAATCCAGTGTTTAGTTCTTGAGATATCGCGGCAACACTGTTTTCCAACTCTAAAAGCAGATTTGTCTGCTGTGACCTTGAAAATGGGATCAAGGTCACCAAAACCGACTGGTGTCTGCGGAGTCTGTATATACACCATAGTTCCAAATATGAAGACAATCCAGTGTTTAGTTCTTGAGATATCGCGGCAACAAACAGGTGGGACGTACGGACGGACGGACGTACGGACGGACGGACGGACGGACGGTCGTGAATACTATATCCCCCGCTTCGCGCTTTCGCGCGGCGGGGGATAATGAAGAAGAGTCAACGCACCTGTCGGGTTCCAAGCACACATGATTATCCGGCGATCAAATGGACGATTCTTGATCTTGTCGATGACGTCGGCCAGCTGGTCCACGCCCTGTCCTGTGTAGTCGGAGTGCATGTCCTTGTACTCTGCACCGAAGTGCCGCCACTGGAACCCATACACCGGACCCAGGTCTCCTGCAAGACAGTCACATGTAGCTGAGTCACAGTGTCTTCACACTACACATAATATATTGTATTCCGAACAAATACATACAGGGCTTGATGCATCTCCCTGAAGCAAGGAGTCAACTGACTATAAAAGACCAGTTTCCACCCTTGCCAAACAAGGCTGGAATATCTGGGCTTGATCGTAGCGCCACCAGTGGCCATTACGAGTTCTGTTTTGTTTTGTTTCGTTTTTTTGTTATACACCGGATTCAGCAATTTTCCAGCTATATGACGGCATTCTGTAAATAATCGAGTCGGCCAGACAATCCAGTGATTGACATCATCGCATTTGGGATGTGATGACATGCTTCAACCAAGTCAGCGAGCCTGACCACCCGATCCCGTTAGTTGCCTCTTACGACAAGCATAGTCGCCTTTTACGGCAAGCATGGGTTGCTGAAGACCTATTCTAGCCCAGACCTTCACAAGTTATGTCCCTTATGTCCCTCCTATTGACCAATATGATTCCACCTCTCATATCACTTGCATTTGCTTCAAATAAAATGGTGGTGCCCACTGAAGACGATCTCATCGATAATCAAGATCTATATTTAAATGTAGTGGGTCTTCGCGAATAGCATCAAATCACAAGCACCTTGAATAAAAACATGAACAGATTTGGAAAATATCTGTTGACACTAAGTTGTCGGTACAAATGCTTTGCAAATCGTGCAAACGAAATAAATCTGCATGGCAGTTGACAAACCTGATGTTGATTTTGTTACGTGATTCTGACTGGACTATGCATAGAGTCGTTAATACAGCCAGTTTTTAACTCCTTATTTCCAGCCTAGTTTGGCAAGGGTGGAAACTGGACTTTTACAGTCAGTTAACTCCCTTTTCTCAGGAAGATGCAGAAACTCGTTGTCAGACTAGTGAAACATGTAATGACAGCCTATTTCTTCTTCCAAACCCTAAACAGTCCTCCAAGCTACAGGTAGCCACTGTCTCCTAGCAGTAATATTTTAGATGCCATATAAAGATTTGAGGAGCCTTGAGAAATGTTAGGGGGCCATTGCATATTAAAAGTGAATAAAGAAACTTGTGTGCTTTTAACACAATCCTAAAGATAAAGTGCAAACAAGCCATTCCGCTTAAAAGGAATATTACTTACAACAATGGCAAACATTGCAAAATGCATTTTTCAAGAAATGTCCATTTTCTTAGCGATAAATTGCAATTTGTCATTACTGAGATTAATATTCTTTATCGGTGGAATGGCTTGTTTTCACTTTATAAGTATAAGCATACATGCAGCCATCTTCGTTAATTTATCATCGCGATCTTTCATGATTCTATTTCAAGTGGCGAGGACTATAGAAACATAATCAAGATTTTAACCCACTATCTGGCACACCCTAAAAGTGTCTGGATGTCACACATTCATCATAATAATCAGCCAGAGTGAGGCAGCTGTGTCTATCCTTTAGAATGCCCTGATTGGCCGGAATACCTTCTTCTCGATGTGTTAGTCCAAGATTGTCCAGAAAACTTCGGGAACCATTGGCTTTCCAGATGTTGACATTCTTGTCCTCGAGATCCTTGCCGTTGGTACACCCTCGGATAAACCACAGCAGTTCCTCAGCAATACCACGCCAGAACACACGCTTTGTCGTCAACAGCGGAAAACCTGTAACAGAAACATGTCCACTTGAAGCTAACTAACATTTGCTATGAAATTCTACCATCCTAAAAAACACTGCTTTGACCCATACCTCACGTTTCTTCTTATTTAAGCTAAAAAAATAAAAGTCTTGGTTCTCAGGCACCGCCCACATCATCATAAAGTCTGCTGCACGTTTCGTTTTTATTTCAATTTTTTTTAGATATTTAAGATTCTTATACAACGCGATCCAATACGTCACACAGTTATTTCCTTTTACATGCACACTGCTTTACTGCACATCTCATGGTATGGTCATGGCAGCAATAGGAGTTTGTATGCTTGTATGTTGTTTAGGGATGACCTTTCCCAGGTTGATGTTGCACAACTGTTTATTTGGGAACATACTAGTTTGAACAAGCTAAAAAAAACCAAAAAAAACGCCTGCACTCTGTTTTCAAAAGTCATTGCCTGAGAACCAATTCTTTTATTTTTTAAGCCTTACATGCTTTTTTTATCCTAGTTGTGTCACAATTCACAGATCCATTGCAATTTATATCTACACATTTTTTCACAATAAACAATACTGAAACATATTCTGGCTGGCGCTATTTTACTCATCAGGAAACAAAATGCAACAATTGATTGAATAATCAGCAGGGTTTTACCTTGACGAGGAAATTTCCGATATACAATTACGAGCTAATTTACTTTCGGAGTCAAGCCTACACAGTCCTACGTATAACCAAGTCTCCTCAGCATTTTGCCCCGATAAGCTATCACTTGTATTTGTTGTAAAGTGTCAAAATAAATTCAGCCAACAGGCCTTAACATACGACCTTTCTTGACCCCATTCCTTGACTTTTCTCATTAGCGCTACGACCTTGCTTCCAGATGTGTCATTTGAAGAATTCTTTACTATTCTGTGTAGCCTGTGTTTTCAGCAAGTTGAATGAAAAGTTGAATGTATTTATTATTACATGGTTGATTAATTAATGAGTATAATGTTGAACTGATGGTTTATGTTGAATTGGAGTGATTTACAGTTACACTAAAATTTGCAACTATTCAATAATATTTTATACATTAGAAGAAGATTTATTGTACAAAAATACCCACAGGGAGCAGGGTGTACACTTCTACTTATAACGGAAAGTTGACATACACCATTGAATACAAATATTAAAAAGGCCTAGAGAGGAGATGCAAATTTTCTTTGCATGAACATTTTGTAATGTAAATGAAATAGGGGAGAATCTAAAGTGCGTCCTCCAGGCAAAGAGTAGGGTTTGTTCTTTCAATAAATATGTATTGAATAGCAAACATCAAATGAATTTAAAACAGAACGCACACAGCTGAGCATGAACTTCCGAGTACAGTAGAACATGGATAAAACGAACTACAAGGGACCAGAGAAATCAGTTCATTATATCCGTTGTTCGTTGTATATGTTTGTGTTTATATCCGCTATCTTGGATAAAACAAATGACAATACACGTATTTACAGCATTGATTTGTATTAGCAGTGATCACTTCATAGCATTCAACTGATAACATTTCATAAGATTCATTTAATAACATCAAATTCATAACATTTTCAGAACATTGTTATCAAATACATGTAAATATACTTAGCAAATTTACGATTTGAATGCGGGGAATCAGTGACTTTGCTCTGGCATGTATTTTCTGAAAGTTATTCAGCATCAAATAGTATTGTATGAAAACTATGCTAAACTAATTGTAAACAGATTCGGTTAACTATTTACATATACTTACTTATATACACATCGTTGTGAATTATGATTTTGGAAAAGAAAAAAATTATAAGGCACTTCATACAGTCAATGAAAGAATCAATTTGGATCATGGATTGATATGATGTGTCAATTATGTTTTGTTTGTTTGTTGTTTAACGCCGCACTCAGCAATATTCCAGCTATATGACGGTGGTCTGTGAATAATCAAGTTCGGATCAGACAATCCAGTGATTGACATCATGAGCATCGATCCACGCAATTGGGATGACATGCATCAACCAAGTCAGCGAGCCTGACCACCCGACCCCGTTAGTCGCCTTTTACGGCAAGCATGGGTTGCTGTACACCGGATCTTCCCGAGCCGTGAATAATGTAGTGCACATTGATGCACTATGACATACATGTGTCTGCCGTTTTCAATCATCGACAAAAATGGCATGTTCATGTACTGTTACAGCGTTAAGTGTTCATAAAATAAGTACATAAAATAATGGTAATTCACACGACTGTGTGGTGGTACAAAGTGTTCATGACAGTATCATCTGTATCACTTTCCACAACATAGTGAAAACATGTCCATGTACTGCCTGTTGTCTGGCCATAACATATGCTGATTTAAATGTCTGTACATTGCTGTGTACAAACACAAACTGATAGTATGATTTTGATGAACATGTTCTACTTTATACAAATTGGTCATGAGAAGATACATATCTATCCATATTGTAGATGTTACAAATACAAGGCACAAATATCTACAAAATACTGACTATTGAAATACACTGTGAGAATATGAGCATAAAATGTCTTTTCATTTTCACTATCCACAAGAAATTAACTGTCATGTCCTGATTGTGTGATAGAAACTGTTTGTGAAATGTGTTGAATTCTTCTTTGAAGGAAGCAGTACTAACAAAATGCTGAATTATGTTGTTCACATTGTCAACTTTGGTATGTATAACATCTTCCTCAAAATATTTATCAACATTGTCTGAAGTCTGATGATGTCAATTAAGGTACTGACTATATTTTCAAGGTTTCTTTCTGGGTGTGGATGTAAGTTGTCTCTTCCTCCTTTGTCCTTTCTGTGGTGTATCTTCTTGTTTTCTCTTGCCATCTTTAATTTTAGTTTGGATGTCTTGTACATTCAAATGGACCTCCGGTCCAAAGTCATATTCGACCTCTCCTGTTTTTGTTATTTTGAGGCATGAGGAAGCCATGAAATCCGGCAGATCAGCATCGTGGTATCCTGCTGTCTCCAGGTACTCTACCTGGAGTTGGATCAGGTCAGCTAGGCGATGGAGTGCACTGGTTGGTGGCATCCATGTTTCGACATTTCTGAGCTCAAGCTGGGAGATAAAGCTGTCATCGGATTTCTTTTTCAGTTTCATGCTCACCGTTCTTACTTCTTCTACGGTAACAGAATTTGGAGATACATTTTTTGGACAGTAGAGATGTTTTACGAAATCTTCATAAATATCTTTGTCAATTGAGGGTTGTGTTCCTTTCAAAATCTGGAAAAGATTTTGCCTAAAGTGACTGCTGGAGAGGTATGTCTTCAAAATTTGGGTATGTGAGATACCTTTGAATTTGGGGATGAAGTCATTCCCTCCAATGCAGAGACCCAATGCCAGCTTCACTCCTATGTCTGGATCTTGGTATTTATCCTCAAAAAGTTGAATGATGGCTGTGATGTTGTAGATATCATGAAGCATATGTGGCTTCTGCAGAACCACAAAAACTTCATTTATAAAAGAGCCATTGTCATGACGAGGCCAGTGCTTGGATATGGCATAGAGATGAATGCAGACAGCATCAATGTCACCTGATGTAATCAAACTGACAACTCTTTCGCCTGCTTTGAGATCAGATCTGCTGGCTATTAGCCAGTCTACCTGTGACATTTCTGCTTCACCTTTACGTTGTTGAACATCCACCAGAGCTGTAATGGTTGGTTTTTGACTTTCTTTGTCAAATGTACAACGGATTGGCGTTGCATAATGTTTGCATGTGCAAGCTCCATCACACGTACAGGTGTGCATTTCAAGTTCACTGTCTATGTCAAGTGTAATGCCTGGTGGCAATAGCAGGTCTTTAGCGTTAGCTGCAACATACTTGCTAATGAGGGATTTCCCAAATGTTGTTCCAGTTATGACATCTCGTTGAAATCGCTGCTGTGTAATGGCATCATCAGCTGGTTTCAGATGGGTAATAGAAGATACACTGCAGGCCTTTTTTCTCTGTTGCCTTGTGCCTGCCTTAAACTGATCGGGAGTGAAGGAATACTTCTCTTCACACAGCACTATTCTCTCCAAATTTGGCATTTTTGACGGTAGGGGACGCAATATAGCATTTTGTACATAGTGCAGATATTGCTTTCCTGTGATAACTTTACTTTTAAATTTCACTCCAGCAAATTCAAGGGTAACTAACTTTACATTACTTGTCAACCATATTGGCAAGGGTCCTTTAACAGACTCAATGACACCATGCCTGTTTCCTGCCTGACAATCTTCAATGCATTTCATGAGAGCATTCTTCATAGAAGTTGATTTCTGGATCTTAGGTTTGCTGCAGTCTGGTTTCACTAGTGCTTGGCACATGTTCATTTCCGAGGAAAGGCAATCCGTTTGCTTAACTTCCCGTCTGATGGCCTTGGATCGTTTTTGTTCTTTCTCATCTCGTTCAGACTGTTGGACGTGTCTAGTGGCTTTGATTGTTCTCTTGATGGTAACACCTTTGGATCTCTTCACTCTGCTGAGCAGTGGTTTAGGACCTTCCACTGTCATTAGGCTTGGAACATCAGCAGAGGATAAACCAAACAGTTGGTCATGACAAATGAACTTTTGTATCAGATATTCGCCAATTGCTCTGGTGTCATCATCAAGAATTTCTCTGGACAGTAAAGACCTCTTTTCAGAATACATATTGAATGGAGTGGTACAGGCCTCCAAAGACAAAGAATTCTGGCGTAAAATGACTTCCACTACCCTGAAAATGTGCTCAGCATCTATGTTTGAAAATAACCACTGTACTCCGTCCTTTTCTTTGGTCTTCTCCTTGGTGGAATGGATATCATTGAATGCATCAATAAGCGACATCCTTCTTGAAGCAGATTCAAGAGATGAGCCCGATCTAAATCCCTTCAGTGCATCTTTGTGGTCCATCTCCCTCTTGGTATCACAAGCAAAATTTACCGTACTGTTCCCAATAGGTGTTGAGTACAGTGTCTCCTTTAGCTTCTGGTGGAAGATGCCTGCTGTATAG